TGGTGAAGTGTGGAGTGTAGTTCAGGAAGAGAAAATCCACATCAACAGAATTTATAAATACATATGAAAATATCCTAAAGCTGCAGCGAAAACAACCAAGAAGCTAAACTATCATGTTACATCACAACAGTTTAGAAAAATACCAACTTCATGAAATAAACAGTGCTATAGTTTCACACGGATTCAGAGATGTATAGATTCAACTTCCAAAAATTTTAAATGTCAGCTAACAAGGACAGTGAAACATTGCTTTTCGTCACCATTCTTTGAACTTCCTGTCTCAAGCTTTTATTTTGATACACTTTCATCGTTCTATCGAGCCCTTGTTTTTGTGTTCCAGCTTTATCACACTCATTACACTCACCTGCTTTCCATCAGCAATCAAGTGACTGTGTATTTAAAGAAGCAGCTCACATCCATTAGTTGCCAGAGTGTCGTCAGAGATGTGCCCAGTGTTACTCACTTGTGTCTCAGCCACTGCTCATCTTCCATGTCTTCATTTTCCCACAGTATTTTCCTCATTGCTAGATTGTCTGTCACCTGCAATCACTGTTTATGGGCATGTCTCTCTCAAAGTTTGAGCTCCAGTGTAGCAGAGTAGGTTTTTATTCTCACTCTCCACCCAGTCAATCATTCTTGTGCCAAACCTGGTGATTAAACTGCAGTTTAATTACTGGGTGACGCCATTCAGCCCTATATCTAAGTGGGTGGCTGCTGCTCATATCTTCATTTCCTGCCTTTCCCTGCAGCCTGGCACTTGTGTTGCTGGCATGGTCGATAGTTTGGCTTACCTGAGGTCTGCATTTGGCATGGCTGGCTGAGGTGTGGCGTCTCTTCCAACTTCCTGCCCACCACCCCCTGGTGGAACTACTGTCCCATCTCGCCAGTTTGTCCCTGTTTGTTTTGCCTGTTCACTTTTGCCACTGTTTGTCTAATGTGTATGTTTTTGTAGCCACAGTTGACCATTGTAGCAGTGTTTATTTGAACAGATAGGTGGCCTCCATATTAACTAAGCACCAGGTTGTATCAGTTCATTGCCATCCACACTTTGTGCTTTTCTTCATCTTGTTAAAGAGGAGCTGTTGGGCCTAAGCAGCTGGCAGACATCCCTGGTGGTGGTGTCTATCACAGATCCTTCTGCAGTAGAACACTCGTTATAGTCCTAATAGTGAAAACGTGACTCTAGAGACCCAGAATGGTTACATTTCTACCAATTTTATTGGGGGGAAATTCCTCTCAGTAGCACTGTCTACACAACAAACCATCTTCCTCCTCCTACCACACTAGTGGCATGTTTTCCATATTCTTGCATGGAATTTGGTTTAACTCTCCTGCTTTCTGTTCTTGTGGTCTTAATTTCATACCAGTAGATACTAGTCTTTGAAAGTCTTGTTTTGTTCATTGTCCTACTTACCTACTATTGGTTTCATATGCACTTTGTGTTTTATCCACATCTGTATTTAGCCTGAGGTTACTTGGCACATGCTTATCTAATGTTCAGTGTGTAGATCTTGGTTATTTTTCCTCAGTGCTTGCCATCCAATTCATGGATTTTGGACCAATAAAGCCCTTTTATTTCCATCACATTCCTCTGGCTCTGTCTTGTGCTTGGATCTGAATGTAATAACTAAAACCTTTTTGCTTAGTCTGGTATTAAGTATTAAGTTGCTCTTTAACATTCAGCAATTTTGCCTAAACTTCTTTCTGTAAATATGGAAAAATGGTGCATGTCAATAATCAAAGTGGAATTTTACAAAACACAAATGTATAATGTTTCTTTTTCTCTGGCATGTGCTCCTTTAGGAACATATCATAATTCATTAGCCTCAGGGTTTTATATTCCACATATTCTTCCCACCTGCTTTGAAATAGCCTTCAACACAGAGAAGCTCACACGCAGACAGAGAGGATGGTGTGAAGGTGTACTAACTGAAAAGAGACTTTATCTCTGATATTTGCTTGAGTCAGACTTGAACTTTCTAATGTCAATTCAAAAAGGCCTTGGCATATCACTGGCATTAAAACTAGAGGAGAGCATTTTCTGCTTCTGTTGCATCCAGCTTCAGTTCTCATTTAACATTTTTTTAAGTTTTCACAGGCAACTGAAATCTTTCTGGAATTAAATTTAAAGCTTAATAACCTTTGCTACCTTACAGGAGACATTTACTTTATTGCTGGCATAAAAATGCATCATCTGAACCAGTGCTACATAATAACTGGGCAACACAAATGCATCATCTTTAAATAAACTAACAGGATTAAAATTGTGATCAAATGGGGACTATGGAGCAGATGTGTGTGGACATATGAATATTAACACCTATGGATAATCCTCAGCCACAATGAGAAGCTAGTGTAGGGAGGCAAAGACAAATAATTTAAGGTTATGAGTACATAGAGCGCCTGGGCTCAACATGTGCTACAGTCCCAGTGATAGTTACCTAGGTGTTACCACCTGATACACAGTCAATCGCTTATTCAGTTCAGCCTGTAGCAAGTGTCCAACACTAGCATATGGTGAGATAGTGAGGAAGCAGAGAGTGCTTACACTGTTGAATTCAGGAAGAGTGTTAACACTGTCGTGGACCCTCTCTTGGTTGATGCGAGGGGAGGGCTGAGAACCTGGCACAGGAGCGTTTTCAACAGGAGGAGGTGCGGAGATTCCCATGGAGCTGATGGCATTGCCTGAAAGAAAACCAGCAGGGGCCATCGTCATCAGGTTCACATCATTATTCATCTTTGAAGCAACACCAAAGTATTATCAGTGACTTTCATAAGTAAAGTTAGAGCTATCAACTCAGTAAATACCGTGCAAAAGTGAGGATTTATGTTTGTCAGATTTGGTGAAAGGATTCACTGACACCACATTCACATTTGGCAGCCAGCCACACAAGCAGAGAGAATGTCCCTTGCCATTCATTTATTTATAAGAAAACATTACGGTTCAGTGGTTCACCCTCTCAATCATCATTTATGACCCACCTCATTTAGATTCTGCATTAATACAAATTATAAAATGCTCAGTTAGATCAGCATCTCAAGATTAATTTAGATTATACTCAGATATAACAGCTAAAAGGTAATATTTCCTCTGTCATTATCTTGACAAAGGAAAACCTGTCAGCTACAGTAGATGAAAGACTTGGCATCAAAATGATCAGTGGGTTTACAGCTTGAAAACCTTCTGTTACTCAAACTACTGAATAGAGTTGCAAGAATAATCAAATCTTCATTTCTCTACTCAAAATACCACCATCTATGATAACAATAAATTGCTCCTGTAGTGACTTTTAACTGACATATTAATGTATAAACATTATTGTTGTGGTTATAGTCTGCACATATTTTATGCAGGAGAATCTTACAGCTTTAACCCTTTTGATGCTGGAACTTTGGGCTCGATTTAGCATTAGTAGCGCAACAGTCATTGGCACATTTCCACTATGGCGATGCACCTCTTAAGGTGTATGATATTAGCTACATAACCTCATGACATCTTACTCACTCAGGCATATATTGTTGCTGAACATATGCAGGATGCGCTGACAGCCCTGCCATTCGTTCCCACTGCCGTCACATGTGCACCACTGGGACACATCTGTGCTGCTGTTGCTCACATAGTTTGGAGTCATGATGGTTCCTGGGTATAGAAAGAAGACAACCATCATATTACAGGTGCAATACAATATAAAATAGTTAAGACCCAAACTTCACAGGCTCAATTATGAACAGTCATAACAGCCACAACAGTTCACAAATTCAAAACTATTTCTGAGCTATTTCCTCTTCCAGCCTCTTCTATGTCTTTATTTCTTTTCCCCTCAGTCTCACCTATGAGTCCAGCGTAGGCCTTCAGACACATGGCTCTGCTCTCTCGCACACAGCCAGAGGCAGAGAGAGAGGAGGGCTGGCAGTTGTGTTGGAAATCAGCAAACCGCGATCTGAAGCATACACACACACACACAGCAGAGAAAACAGCTTTTCACATGTCAGCACAGAGCAACACACTGCTCATTTTAAAGTGTTTTGACAATTTCATTTGGGGATTTGGGTCAACACAAACCACAGTGTAGTGTAGGAGTCCAAAACACAAAACCAAGAAATATAGCTGTGTCGTCACATTAAAATCATGAGTAAAACGATCTTCAGTGCTGAAAGTGTCAGTAACAACATGCACACCCAGCACCTTAACATCCTGTTGTTATTAGCTGAATCATTGTATATGATACACCATAAGAAGGTGATGAGGGTTCCTGTGCTGTTCCCACACTCCTCTATAGAAACATATGGTAGCCATGCGTGTGGAACAGAAGAAACCTATGTCTGCTTTAGTTAGTTGTCCTCTTTTTGCCTTGATTTAAATCTGTTGCTAATAATGCTGAGGGGGGGATTTTGTATGACCCTCTCAGCTTCAATAACTCTCATGTATTCCCTTATCCTCTTACCATTAATAATCTCTGTAACATTTACACACAGTTCTATACATAAATGAACAAGAAGACTGACTAAAATTAGCCTCTCAAATGCCGGCATGATCATACTGATGAGCAGGAGCATACACTATAACTATGAATGCAGTGCTGCCTAAAGAAAAGTTCTCTGTGCATTTCTCTTTTTGATCTGAAAAATCTTTACAAGTTGTTGTAAATCCAAAGAATCGTCTCCTGCTTAGATTCCAACATCATCAGTGAAGAAAGGATTTACAATAAAAACTGACCCGGTATTTTTTTGATACTTTGATCTTTGCCAGAATGTGATAGGCTTATACATGGCCTAGTATCCTCCAGTGAGTCATACAGTTATTGTCTGTGCCAGGACGTCTTGCATCGAGTCCTATGGCCACCTACCAGGCAGAAAGAGCTTCTGAGGCCTAGAGTCCTAACAGCCCTGTTAAATTTCTTTACTTACTCCTAAAGCATTTGCAAAGATGATTTTTGAGGATTCTGAAGCATCAGCGAGTGTTCATCTTTCCTGCATTTGCTGAAGTATACTGTGGCTATGTTTCTCTGTGAGAAGCCATTAGACATTCTACTGTACAACTTGTATGCACTACAGATTTGCCTTATTGTTCTCCAGTCAGCTGGAATGTTGCTAGCACACTTACAGTATGTGTATGTGTCTAGGTGTGCCATTAAACAGGGTTTGATTTATTTCATGTCTTTGGGGCATCGTCTTGTGTGGCAACATAGCGGTATAAGAACTTATGACCCCTGATTAAAACAATTTGAGATCCAACATTCTAAAATAAATCTACATAAACATCTAAAATTCTGTAATCTATTATCACCTGTCTGACCACAGTGCACCATGTATGAAGGAATGCAGGAATTTAAGTCGATTTGTTTTATAATTCATCATTGCATAGAGAGTTGCTACTGTACAAAAGGGTATTGATGAGAGAGAGGCTGCTGAGAATTACTGATCTGACACCAAATCACAAAAACTACACATGGAAGCAGAATATAGCACATGAATGCAGCTGATGAGCCACAATAAGTAAAAAAATATAAATAAATCCTTACAAAGAATATGTAGCTGTTATCAGAGCACTGTGCTATTAGAGCAGTATTAGTCATTTCATCAATTTGCTGATTGACAGAAAAATAATTCAAGACTATTTTGATAACTCATTAATCATTAGAGTAAATGTGCAAGCAAATATGTCAAGCATCGTTAGTTCCAGCTTCCTTCTTAAGTACTGTATGATAATGTACTGTATTCATGTAACATAGTAAACTGAATTTGTTTGAAGTTTGCCTGGTCAGATAACAAAATCTACTGGAATGTATTACTTTGGCTTTAGGAAATGTTGATCGCCATATTTCATTGTTTTCTCATAACCTGCTTATAATACTGCAAATGTGGCCAAATACTCAACAGTGTGCCTTTAATGGTGCTGCTCGTGTAGATTGCAATATGAGCTGAGTCATTCTTTGTGGTTAACTTTGTGGTATTTGTGACACAATTTCTGATAGTTTATTCATTGGTGCTTTGTGGTACACATTGTTAAATCTTCTGTTCTGTGTTGTTCTGTGCTGAAACATTTAATGCACTGTCAGTACACACAGACTTACCTGCACAGCTCATCTCTGGAG